AACCACCTTTCCAGCTCCGTTCTCCGTGCAGGGAACAGAAGAAGACCCAGCAGATCAGGCGGGATGCCGATCAGCTGGAACTCGGGAGGCAGAGAATAGATGGGGGTGGGGCCAGCCAGAGGTGGCATTTGCCGGTTCTCCAAACTACTCAAAATTTGCACTACCGGTTCTCCAAACTACTCAAAATGTCCATTACCAGTTCTCCAGAACTTGTCAGAACCTGCTGGATTTCACCCCTGGCATCAGGGCTTTTGACAATACATTGTATGCCATTTCTGATTATTTACATTACAAGAATGGCTCTTGGTTTTTAGCAACATCACTAAGGTTTATAATTAATTCTTAAGATTGCTTCTGTCAAAGAAGTGAATCAATTTTATGCTTATTAATTCCCAAACCTTGCCCAAGGTCTGAAGTATCTGTACACACAAAGTTTACCACACTTCTCTATTTTTCCATGAGTCTAAAGCTTCCTTTCTCTAATCCCTAGAAACACATAAATAAACATAAACTCAGAATTTCCAGAAGTTGGAAAAACAAATTGTGCAAAGGAGAAAACATAAAGCACTGAATGTAATCATTCAAACTAGTCCAATTTGTATTACCTATTCCAATTCTAGAGTTTCAGGTTTAAAGATTAATAACTAATAGAACACGTCTAAATGTTATGGAATTGCACAGCTTTTCAAAAGGAAGAAGCAGTTCTTACATTAGCTAATGAGGTAACATTTTCATGTGATCATCTTTCCGAGGATGAGCATGAACTCCAAATACACTTAGGGAACACTAGGTGGGAAAAAGCTGATAGGGGATAGGAAGAAATGTTTTGAAACTCTATAGTTTTTTAGGCATAAATTTGGAAATGATGTTGACAAGAAGAGAAAAGCTAGCACCAAATTTCCAGGATGATGTCAAGGATATCGCAAGCTGTTGACTAGTCAAGGAATCATGTGTGCAAAAACTCATCTGTATACTCACTTCTCCCTTTTTCTCCAAGAAGGCATTACAAAAATCTGTTATTCTCTCTACAGAGACTTCATCCAAGAGCAGCACATCCTGCTCCTCATCAGCAGTGTAGAAGGCAGCCAAGGCAGGTAGCTGGGACTTCTTTAAGTGGAAATAAGACAGAACCCGATCATTACCCTGGATGCTGATGTCCACCAGGATAAACAGAGCCTTCAAAGAAAGAACAAAAACAAAATTTTAAAAAGTTCATGGAGCAAATAAATATGATAACACAGATTTATCATGATGAGAAATTAAAGGACGATAAGGTTTCGCCAGAGTTGTCTTTGTAAACCCTAAGGCTTGTAAATTTATCCAAAGAAGTGTAAACCTGTTGCAAGTATATTCATTAATTTTTTTATAAGTAATCATAAAGAGTATTGTAGTTTAAATTCCACTAATGAAAAAAGAGCATGAGAAAAATATTTGTATTAGCAAATCGTGCACGCACCAAACTGACAGTAACGCCAGCAGAAACCTACCCCTGCCCAGATACTATATAATAGAAAAGCTAAAGAAATATAAACATAGTAAAATATACCCTGAATGTGCTATAAAATATTCAATATTTTTACAGTCACAGTTGTCTAGCAATATTAAACAAAAATGATCCAATTAACTTTTCTTACTGCTGACAAAATAATTATCATTGTAGCATGGTGCCAGTAAATGGGTGGTGGAATGGAACAGCTGAATATTGAGCCTTCTTCATTGCATCAGCTTTCCTCTAGAAAATGTATGTGGATGGAGTATATGTTCCAAGTCTGTGTTTACAAAAATTTGATTTCTGTTTGCTAACCTAGTTTTCACACACACACACACACACACACACACACACAAATACACACACACTGAAAATATGATTAAGCTTACAATTTGAATTAATAATATGAAATGATAGAGAGAAAGAAAAGATTAAAAACTCTTAGGTGATTTTTCTAATCAGAAATGTGCACTTAAAATTGGGTCCTTCCAATTCCATGTATTTATTATATATAAAATTAAAAGTTTGCTGTGTCATTCTTAATTTGAGTGGGGAAATGGTGGGGTTTTGCGCAGTATCACACTCACATTTAATCCTCCTACTTCCCCCATTTGTATTTTAATATATGAAATATGATGCAAGCAGAACTAGCACTTCCCAAAAAATCTTTTGTGGTATTGACTAGGAATATTTCAGACTTACCTTGCTTTGAAAGGCTACTGCTGCTTCACGGTACTTGTTAATCCTCTCAGTATGCAGTGGGGACGTCTTGTCACTGAACAGAAGAAGATGGGTCTGAACTGCACTATCAAAGAGGCCTACTGCAGTCTGTCATGATTAACAGATGAAGTAATATGTTGATTAGAGAATGGAAGCATTAATCCTCACATGTTCAAAATAATCCTCAGCGACGAGATAAATTTATAATCAGGGGTTGGAAGAGAATGCAACTGAGTTGAAGGGCTAGAGAAACAACAAAGGCAGATGATACTCAATATCAGAAGCAGGCATTGTAGAAATCACAAACACCTGTTCTGGTATCTACAAAGCTTCATTTTTTTTAAACTGTCCTTTAAATCACATTTACTTTTTTTAAAGTGGAAAGTTTGTGTTTTCTAGTTGAAACTGAAACTGCAAATAGCAAATAAAAATGGTGAGTGACTGCAGATAACTGCTTAGTTTGGAATTGCATCCACCTGCCCAGAAAAATGACACAGGTACATCAATTATAACAGGACTAAAAATTTTCCAAGCATGTCTGCTAAGCTTTGAAAAACAGACTGAAGTGACTCAAAATTGGTTACTCTTTTGAAGTTTGCCTGATGTTTGATGTTTTGTGGAATCTCTTTGTTTCTTTTTAAGCCATTTGCTAGTGGCATTGCTGATATAAACACAATTTCCAAATGATGTATTTAAGGCTATTGAACCAAGATATAGGGTTGGTTTCAACTAAATAAATATGGAGAGGAGGAAGGTATGACTAGTGTTGGCACATCTTCTACTGAGTAATCTGTATACCTCATCCCCTATATTTGTACAGCAAACAAGACATTGATAAAAGGACATGAAAGAAGTTGTGTCAAAGGCTAAATCTCCAACCTAGAGCCCTGTTGCAATCATCACTGGAAGTGGAACATTTTCTTTAACGTTCATTTTAATGTTGTTGTTTTTTGTATTTGCCATAGTTGTTGCTGTTGTACATCTAAATATTTATTTGAAGATTGCCATCCCTCCCTCCATTTTACTTTACTTGATACCTTAGTAGTACTCATCCTTAATTGGTTCCAGGAGGTGCAAAGAGTACCAAAAACAAGGAGTACTAAACAATTTTTCCCATAAGGAATAATATAATGAGTCATAAAACAGCTGGCACTGACAAGTTCTAACTTATGTGTTGAGTACCAAACAAATGATGAGTACCAGGACAAATTTTTCATGCCAAAATGCATTGAGTACCAAATTAGATGAATTTCAAAACAGTTGAATACCAAGGTACCACTTTACTTTACTTTACTTTACTTTACTTTACTTTGCAATTTAATAGAAAGAAGTTTCAATAAATTTAATGCTACATTTTTTCAGTTTCAGTTTTCTTTGTTTCTTACTCATTTAAATATTTAAATACCATGAAATTTCATGTCTCAGTAATTTTTANAGTTTCACCACATTTTACAAGTTGGCCATGCCTACCCAGTCACATGACTGCCAAGCCACTCCCACTCACTCACATGGCTGGCAAGCCACTCCCACCCGGTCACATGGCCGGCAAGCCACTCCCACAAAGCTGGCCACACCTACAGAAGAGGTTCTAAAAAAAATTGAAACCCACCACTGCTATGCTTGTAAGAAAAGTTGCCCTATGGCAGCAAACAGGTCATCTGTGATGGCCCAGTTGTTGGTGAATTAGAACTTCCAGCATCTTCTTTACTAGTGGTTGTTATGACAGGTTTTGGTAATTGTGGGTCAATAATATCAAAGGGATGTGGCTCAGTGGCTAAGATGCTGAGTTTGTCAATTAGAAAGGTTGGCAGTTTAATGGTTCGAATCCCTAGAGCCGTGTAGCAGAGTGAACTCCTGTTACTTGTACCAGCTTTTGCCAACCTAGCAGTTTGAAAGCATGTAAAAATGCAAATAGAAAAAATAGGAACCACCTTTGGTGTGAAGGTAACAGCGTTCCGTGTGCCTTCGGCATTTAGTAGTAATTCAGTACGAATTTCTTCCATTTTGACTGTCTTTTACACTTAGCAGCAATTTAAGGGGAGAATGCTGACATCTGGTGGATATTTATTTTCACAGACTCCATTGAAGATGCATTTTAAGATTACTTAAAATATATAAAACTCCAGAAAGGTCTTTTATGTTTGTAATTTCTTGTAATCTTCTCTAATAATAATGAAACAGCATGATTTAGAGAGTTAAAACTGGCATATTGGCTTATTACAAAGTGTTTATTATTGCTGTTGTATTTCTATTCTTAGAGAGAAGCGTTCTTGGAATATTTTATCACTAGTATCAACAATATTTAGCTATGTTCAGATATAATGTCCTTGCTACAGGAAAAGAGATTCCTGTTCCCCTCAAACAGCATAATGTTTTGGACTATCTTCATGGAAAGTTTAAAAATGCCCTTTAAAACCATAGTAGAAAAATATCTAATGTGATCACATTTTTGTAGGTAGAATTTACATGGGCCTTCCTTAATTTCACATCTGTTTGATAAATTGGACTATAATTATCATAATTCCCGAACAATGTGGATCAAGATTGTGAGTTGTAGATCAATCATGTTTAATAGAATTTATTGATGCCCTTTGAGGAGACTCCAGGGGAGACCCTCTTGTAGCTCTGGCAGCTGCAGGAGGTTATCATGTTCTCCAGCTGGCTCTGATTATGAGAAACAACCTTCAGAAAACATGTTGAGAAAATAGACAAACACACTATGTGCCCTTGAGGTTAATTTGGCACTGATTCGATAATGCAGCCTTCCCTAACCTGATGCCCTCCACACTTTTTTGTCCCAGCATATCCTGGAGGGTAGAAGGTTGGAAAGTACGTCTCTCATGATTTTTAACTCAGATTTGTCTTGTGTCCTGTAACAGGCAGATTAATCTTTCCTGGATCAGTTAATATTACAGCATTTTATAACATGCTAATTACCAGTATACCTTTCCAACTTCCCACAATAAGTTTCTCAATTAGCAAAAAGTTGTTAATTTAAAAAACTTCTATGGCATTTTTTTTAAAAAAAATCTTTAAAAATAGTATAGCATAGAGAAATAAAAATATAAAACATTCATACAGAGTTTTCAAAACAATGTTAAAGTAGCAAGGACTGTTTAAAAGTTTGAATTAAAAAGACAAATCTTGATTCTTTTTGAGACCAATGAGGAAAAAGTATTTCCTGTGGGATCGAAAACTGAAACTGGCCACAAGAAAGATGGTCCCTTAGATCAGTGTTTCTCAAACCAGCAAGTTTAAGATGCATATTCTTCAATATACTATATATTATTATAAGGGACTTATAATATATGCAAAATAAATAAATGGGGGGGGATTGATACGGCATGCCAAATATAGTTCCCTTAAATATAGTTTATGAAATCAAACACATTTTTCATAGTTGACACAATGTGCTAAGCTATGAATCATAGGTAATAAGCATAATGGCTAGGTTCGACAAGTACTAAACCCAAAGCAGGCAAACCACAGTGCATTTTCTGTAAAACCAATCACTTAGTATCTTGTTGCATTTCAACAGACCTCAAAGAATCCAACAACTGCCACCTCAGCTCCATCAATGAAGGCTGCAGTACTTGGGATATCTTCCAGAAGCACAGGCTTCCTTTCCTCTTTGATAGTATCTGAAGGAAATAGAAGGAAGGTACTGTTTAATTAGCATCTTTTTATGGCCAATTTCTAACGATTGTCATAATGACCTGCTTTGAATTTTCATATTAGCAAATCTTCATCTGGACAAATTGTTCTTTCACATATTTGTCTTTATACACTGCCTGGGAATAACATAACCAATAGAAAAAATGTCCTTTTGCTGCCACCTGCCATTAAGCAAGATCTGTTGCAGCATGGAGCATTCTTGGATGAGGTTCCTAATGTTTAAAATTCCACTTATCAAATAAGGCCCAATACCATTGGATTTTTCAGGTGGGGAAATCTGCTTGTTCATCTGCTTTTTAAGAGATGGATGGAGCTGAAGGATGACTAACTGCATTTAGGCTTCAACTCTTCCTCATGACAGATATATTTCCTCTTAGTGTTTCTTTTCTGCAGCTCAATTTTATTCTTCTTTGTTGTTTTTTTCAATACAAGACAAAAGCATGAATTGTTTTACTATGATCCATGGCATTATTTCCCATCATGAAGAACTGAGACTGCTGTTTGAGTAATTTCATAATAAACAGGAATGAAATAGAAATTTGGTTTACGGTGATCCCACATGATTATACCGATGAAGGGGGCCAGTCTGTTCTACAATCTCTTTTTTCAAGGTTTCCTAAGAAAATCATGCATTTGATTTTCCCTGAGATTTTCCTAACCTACTTAGATACTGAGAATTTTGTTCTAGCTGGGAGTTGAGCCTGGTGCTTACTATAACAGCATCCCCACCGTATCCCTCAGATAGGTTACCTTTCCTTAATCCAAACTAGTATAGTAACTATTTTTCAAGGCACCTGAGGGTAGAACAAGAAGCAATGGGTGGAAACTAATCAAGGAGAGAAGCAACTTAGAACTGAGGAGAAATTTCCTGACAGTTAGAACAATTAATCAGTGGAACAGCTTGCCCCCAAAAGTTGTGAGTGCCCCAACCCAGAAGTCTTTAAGATGTCTTTAAGAGCCAAGGTGGTGCAGTGGTTAAATGCAGCACTGCAGGCTACTTCAGCTGACTGCAGTTCTGCAGTTCGGCTGTTCAAATCTCACCGGCTCAAGGTTGACTCAGCCTTCCATCCTTCCGAGGTGGGTGAAATGAGGACCCGGATTGTTGTTGGGGGCGATATGCTGACTCTGTAAACCGCTTAGAGAGGGCTGAAAGCCCTATGAAGCGGTATATAAGTCTAACTGCTATTGCTATTGCTATGTTGGATAGCCATTTGTCTGAAACGGTATAGGGTTTCCTGCCTAGGCAGGGGGTTGGACTAGAAGACCTCCAAGGTCCCTTCCAACTCTGCTATTGTATTGTATTGCTTACTGCAGGTGATGAGGGCAGGAATCCAGTACCTTTGAAGAGCACTAACTTCTGAAAGCTGATTTAAATATTGCTGTCCTAGACTATTGGTATGTTTCTTGGTCTATTCACGATCTCTTTTTCTAAATTTGAGACAGGCTTTCTTACCTTCAGAGGAAGAATTTTTCTCTCCAGATCCAAAAAGGAACACACCACTGAGGAAAACTAAAAGAAAGGTAAGCAAGAAGGAGTTTTCCATTGCTCTGACTTCTTTTCTCCTTGTCAGCTCTTCTGTTTCAGGCAGAAAAAACACCTTTGAGCTGTCACTTAATCAGACGTGACAGCTTCAAAAACTGTGGGAGTGAAACAGTTGGGAATGGCCACCTGTACCTTTTTTTCCCTCTGATGTAATAAATCTAATTATTGTATTGTGCGACAAACTCCACTTTCACAGCTTAGCAAATAAAAAGCAAAAACATTGAAGTTCAGGTAAGTTAACATAGACAGAATTTGCTGCTTATTTCTGTACAACCGGGCTAGCATTAAAACCGTTTTAAAAAGTTTGTTTAATGTTTTAAAAATCACTATAGATTTTGAATTGATTAAATCTTTATATGTCATGAATTCCCACCCCCACCCCGGGTGCCTGGGGAGACGCAGAGGAAAGGGAAAGTGGGGGGGGGGGTTCAAAGATGTTTGCACAGATACTAGCATGTTGTCAAACATTAACTTTAGAACTTCATTACCTGTGAAACTAGATAGCAATATTTTAATTATAAAAATCAACCTGCCAATTTCACTACATACATATTTTCAATTGAAACAAATATTTTCAATTGGTTAAATATTGCAGTTCAATTTTCATAGATGTTATTTGTACGTGTTTGCTGGCCTTTATTAATGCCATTCAGAAATCTTATGGACTGGAATTTAGAGTCTGGAAAATCTTTTTTTCTGAAACTTTGTTTTGTGGCTGTTTCATTTAACCTCTCTTATCTCATGCACATTTTGCCTGCACCACCTTCCACCGTTGTATTTTAGGTTTCTATTAAATGAGCAGTGGTTTCTCTTAGAAATTTCTGCCTGTTACACAGAATAGCATTTGTAAATGGAACATTCTTCAAGTTATTTGCTTTTTTATTTTGTTCCTTAATTCTGTGATTCTCAATATAGCCTTAAATCGTCAACTAGTTCTCATTTCACCTCACCTCCCAGATCAACTAGAGCAAACTGTTGGGTTTTTTTTGTAGCAAAATGGTTTATATTTTAGAGGAGAGAATGTGACACAGATGCACTCACCTCCTGCAAAGAAAACTCCAAACCCTACAGGTTCAGTCGTCATTGGCCATTTTAAAAAAGGGTGCTCCCCCAAGCAATATGTACTGCCTACACCTAACTTAAGCAAAGGAATAAAAAAAATAGACCCATATACTGATGACAAACCATATTCTTCCTATAAAATGATGCAAAGTCTGGATCTTTGGGCGGGGGAGGTGTGAGGCAAGAACTTTGCTTGATAGTCCTAATGTGTAAAGGGGAAAATACCATATTTTTCGGAGTATAAGACACACCATTTTCCCTCAAAAAAGAGGTTGAAAATCTGGGTGCATCTTATACACTGAATACAGCATTTTTTGCCTCCTGAAACCCTGCCCTCTTCACCATAGCCTTTAGGAGGCTTTCAGAGTCCTCCTGGGGGCTGGGGAAAGCAGAAATGAGCGAAAAACAGGTCAGTTTTTGCGAAAAATGGGTCTTTTTTGCTCATTTGGGGGGTGGCATTCTCCCAGGAGCACTCTACAAGCCTCCTAAAGGCTATTCATGCCCCCTTTTTGGAAAAAAAACGGTCCCATTTTTACAAATGCAAAAACTTTTTTTTTTAATTTGCCTCTTCAAAATCTTGGTGCATCTTATACTCCAGTGTGTCTTATACTCCAATGTGTCTTATACACCGAAAAATACTTAAATCTCTGTATTGTGAGAAACACAAGAAGTTCACTCTGAAGCAAAGGACAAAATTGGCTTTATTTTCAAAGACACTGTTATCTTTACAGGCCAGGTCAGGAAGCGCATCCTATATTAATAGACAAGGCAACTCCAAATGCAATTCTGGGAACCAAATTTAAACAAGACACTATCTGTTGACAGAACTTTTCATATAAGGCAAGGAGAAAGAGAAATTCTAAAGCCAACTTTCTTTCAGTCAACTGATGTGCCATGATAGCAATTGGTTCAAGTTGGTGACTATGTATCTTCTGACCAAAGGCACTTCAAGAATTGATCCTGTGCAACCAGAGAAATGCTTTGTCCCTGTTGATTTTTGTGTAATTATTTTCAAGGTAGAAGGAAGAGAGACAGATTCTCTCCAATAGCCTATACTGGCTAAATTTCTTTTCACAATAGAAGGGTTGGGTTATGTGGAAGAAGCATGGCATGCATGTGCCAGAAACTGACACACTTGGAATAAGCACAAGCAGCAGAAGAAGCAAAAAGAGAAAATCGGGCAAAATTCATTCTGTCCATTCCTTTTTAATAGCCAAGTTCCATTCCCAGGTGAGATGGTTGTGCTTATCATCATCAGTGAAGAGAGACTTATTGCAGTAGTTTCCTCGGGCCACTAAGCCCTTTGGTGCTTCCTCAATAGGTGTCATGAATTCATACTCTTCTGGCCGTGGCCCATAGCTACCCACCATGAATACAGCCTTATCCACTAGGAGAGAACAAGCCATAGAAAGACAATGTATCAGAAGGTGGGACAGAAATAGAATGGAACACAAAACACAAATAATTTTAAAATGCAATACAAACATTTAATGTAATGATTGGAGTTTTCCATCACCTGGACTGAATTCAGATTATATCATCCTTTAATAGATTTATCAGCAGTTGCTAGTGCAATTAACACTCAGAAACCATCCCAGAAAGGAATTTTAAACATTAATTAATTTATATTCTCTATATGATAGAAAATAACAACAATAGCATCCCCAAAACTTTCAAAATGCAGTTTGTAAAAAATGCCCCAAATCCTCCCAAGATTATTAAATGTTTCCACATTTCAGTGTTTTCACATAGGTTTTCAACCTCCCTCAGTTTCCTTAGCGATTAGATCATCGCTTCTTCATAATGTCATTAAAACTTAACTGTTTCAAAGGATCATGATAATGGACTTGCTGTGAGTGGAGAACTTCTGGTATTGAGAATCTGTTTTCTGCTTGATTATTTCTTGTGGGGGGGAGGTTTATTGAAACGGTTTTACATTTTTTGTTTTATGTGTTTTTTTGTTAATACAATTTATTGTTTTAAATCTTATTGTGAGCTACTATATTTTTCAGAGTATAAGACGCACCTTTCCCCCCCTAAAAAAGGGTGAAAATTTGGGTGCGTCTTATACACTGAATGTAGCCACACCCACCCACCAGCCCCAACCCTTTGGCCTCTGTCTCCCAGCAATTTACCTCCTTGCAGCAAACGGGGACTTGCGAGGCTGCAATAGGCTATAGTAATCCCTGCAGCCTGAAACAGCTGATGATCAGGAGAAATTGAAAGTGAAACTTGCTGTTTGCTCCACTTGGCAAATTGCTGGGAGGCAGAGGCAGATTTTTTTTTCTTGTGCTAATCGGGCTGTTTGCTGCAAGGAGGTAAGTCAATAACTATAAATGCCTATAGAATGCTCAAATTATTAGTTATTTTTTTAAAGACTGCTTTATTATTGTTCTAGACAGCTTAACAAAATGAAGAAGCTTTTTAAAATAAATGCTTGATCTGAAGAGGCCCAGTGCTATTGTATCTTCTTTTAAATAGCAGAGAATAACTATACTTCCAGAAAGCCACATCAATTTTAACAGCATCTGTTCCACTATAGGCTGAAATGTAACACCATAACCAGTGTATATTGTCTATACTGTTTGCTGTTCGTTGCAGGAGGCAAATTGCTGGGAGGCAGAGGCAGATTTTTTTTTTCTTGTGCTAATCAGGCTGTTTGCTGCAAGGAGGCAAGTCAATAACTATAAATGCCTATAGAATGTTCAAATTGTTAGACTTATTTTTTAAAGACTGCTTTATTATTGTTCTAGACAGCTTAGCAAAATGAAGAAGCTTTTTTTAAAATAAATGCTTGATCTGAAGAGGCCCAGTGCTTTTTGTATCTTCTTTTAAATAGCAGATTAAATTAAATAGCAGATTAAATACTTCCAGAAAGTACATCAATTTTAATAGCATCTGTACAAGTATAGTCTGAAATGTAACACTATAAAGTGTATATTGTCTGTACTGTTTGCTGTTTATTGTGAGGAGGCAAATTGCTGGGAGGCAGAGGCAAATATTTTTCCCATGTTTTCCTCCCCAAAGCTAGGTGCATCTTATACTTTGAAGCGTCTTATACTTCAAAAAATATGGCATGTAAGCCTCTTAACAGATTTTTCTGAAACTTTTATACAGGGAGGGAGGGAGGGAGGAAGGAAGGAATTAAAAGTAGGATAGAAGAGGCAGCCCAAGTTAGCTCAAGTCCTGTGATGTTATACATATAAGATAATTTTCTCTCTGGTGTCTGAGCATTCCATAAAAATTTCTATAAATAAGGGGTTTTCAGGCATCTCTCTATATATGCCCAGTGTTTACCCAGTGAAATATCAAGAGAATAATTTCTGCTCCTGTGGATTGCAATCTCTGTATTACAGTTTAGAGGCAAAGGCTTTCTGCCATATTTGCACTGTACAAAAAGGGAAAGGATCACTTTATCTACAAAGTGTGAATGGTGAGTTATTCAGTGCAATCGCATCAAGGTGATTTTTGAAAGAACACGCAAGCAAGGCTATATTTATAGTAGTATCATCTACAGGTATTGAAGAGAAGAAAAAATGATTTCACATATTCACCTTTCACTCCTTTTCGGTAAGTATTCTGGAGATATTTCAAACCAGATACAATATCTTTGTTTACCTGCAAGAGAAAAACTGCCCATTGAGTGAGGTAATTCAGTTCAAATTATCAATACCCTTACTTTGGGATATTGTAGGGAGAAAACACCATTCTGTAACTAAACTAAACAATTTATTCATTTATTATTTCAGTTTATGAGGCTCCTGTGATTAGGAGACTAATCATCAAAACCTAAATTGAAAATACAGCAAAAGGTAAGTTTAACAGCCCAAATCTTCATAAACTCAACCATAAAGGACTGTAGTTCAATTTAAGATTCCTCACAGCAGCTTGGATAAGTCACATCAGATCTTCAGCTAGTATTTATGTTGTGCCCACAAATGAAACTGCTTAACTGCCACTATCTCTTTATGAGACATTTGGAATTTGAATTGTAAATATGTAAATATCAGTGGAAATGAACCGCTATATCCAGCACAATTACTAGCTATTTTTGTCCAATTCTGGTTGCTCTTCTTTAAGAGGAGGAGGAAATAAAGCAGTTTTCAGCAATGTAGCCTTTCAGTGTGACCACTTCTGCATTTTGCCCAGATGACACTTTCCATTAAGGGGCCATTTTACATTATAGTGATCAAATAATGTTTGGGGGAATGGCATATTTCTGAACAGATTTTTAAAGACCAGCAATTGCATATATTCAGGATTAAATATATTTGGGGAACCTAAATATATTTTGGGACAATATACTTCTTAATGATATTTGTTGCAAATGCACTGTTCTGAAATATAGTAATAGATCTGTAACCTAAACAATGATAAATATTAAACTAAAACAATAAAAAAGCCAATTTAAGAAAAGTAATGGAGTACACATTTCTTTTCCTTTTTTTTGCTTCTAATTAAGCTGCACAAGCAAAAAATAAAAACTTTTTATCGCTTTTGCTGTATCATAATGTTTCATTTAAGTTTATTTTGTCTTTAGTGGAATACAATTAATTAGTCCAGTCAAAAGAATTAAGGAATACAAGATTCACTGGGAATACTTTCCTTTCTGCCTGTAGCTAAGGAAAACGTCTTGAGCCAAGGTGGCGCAGTGGTTAAATGCAGCACTGCAGGCTACTGCTAGATCAGCAGGTCAGCGGTTCAAATCTCACCGGCTCAGGGTTGACTCAGCCTTCCATCCTTCCGAGGTGGGTAAATGAGGACCCAGATTGTTGGGGGCAATATGCTGACTCTCTGTAAACCGCTTAGAGAGGCCTGAAAGGCCTATGAAGCGGTATATAAGTCTACTGCTATAAGTCTACTGCTATTTTGGTTAATGCTTTATTATTTTAGTTGACAGGTGTGACATTTATGAACCAGCAATGTACACATTTGCACGACAAGAGGCTGTAGTGAACATATGCAGAATGGAATGGAATTCAGGTCTGGAAATTTTCTATGGGAAAGACACTTACTTTGAAG